GAAGCCGCGCTGCCGATGTTGGCTGCCTTCTTGTCAGGAAGCTCGGTGTCGCCCAGACACTCGTGTCCGATTTTCGCGCATGACGAGCTCGATGACCGATCGCCCGCGCATCGTGTCTTTCGTTTTCGATATGTCAGGCATACGAGAACCACCGAGAATTCCCATCAGCAAAGACTTGTCCCATCGCTGAGTTTCGCCCCCCTTGTATGTCGTCATTCAGGCGAGGGAACATGGTGGGCGGGCGGGTCGACGCCAAACTTACGCCGCGTTGATCCGCCGCCGTTTCGACGGCGGCTGTCCCTGGTTGTGAACGAAGCGAATCTGCTTCGGTGGCGGCGCGGCGCTCATGGCGGCTTTTTCATTGTCTCGTTGTTGACGGAGGAGAGGGATGGTGGCGGGAGGGAATGTGCTTGGTTCATCGTCGGATCGGCGGTTGGAGGAGTAGCGGGCCAGCCCAGCACACTTTCATGGAGCTCCTCCATCGTTGGTTGACAAGAGGGATGGCCTCTTTGGTGGGGTCGTCGCCGCCTCTCGGTCCCCAGAAGTAACGAGTTCGCTTCGGTCCGTAAGGGGAAATCGCCCTGTGTTTACCGCCGCCCCCCTCCGCACATCCACACACACCGTCTCGTCGCGGGGGCTACAGACAAGTACATCGGATGGTTCTGGGCTCTATTTGCCCCCTTGGCCCTGCTGGGCTTGGGGATGGATACCCGGCATGCATGCCTTGCCAGATGTTCCGTGTCGTGGCAAGCATGGGCCAGAGCGGCCTTGAGTGCCATCGTCAGTTTACACGCAGCATGAGGCACCCGAACGCGAGGGCAAATGACAGTGTACATAGTTGTGTGTGAAAACAGAACATCCCAACCACCAAACGCCGCCCGTCCTGCCGTACCCAGAATGCCGCGCCCAAACTTCACTTCACCCCCTTGATTACGCCGCTGAACCCACTCCCTTCCAAGCTAGCTTATATCAATGAGCATCCTGCTGTCCCTGCAACCTCATTCATGATCCGATCAATGCCCCTCGCCCCCAATATGTACAGCCATCGAGTGCCCTTGCGGCTATCGACAGACTCATTACCCAAAGACGATCGTGACGCCCATGTCCTCGCTTACCCGCCTCCAGAGATCCCCGCCGTTGCTCATGCCGGCGGGTAGCATCGTCTGATGCTGTGATAGGCGGGATTCGAGATCACCCTCGGCATCCATGAAATCGGACCGTCGCCAGACCTCCTGGACAATAATCCAGCCCCTCTCGATGTTCGTCATGCCCTGCCGGCGATCAATTGCCACGAACGCGTGCCGCGCCATCTCGCGATCTTCAGGGGTCATGGCCTCGCACGCCGCCACAAACAGCGGCCACAGCAGCGCAGCCATAGGCCCGGCGTGCGACACGGTAGCAACGCAGTGTTGCAGGCTTGCGTGCGCATGGCACTGCACTCGTGGGTGGTGTCGTGGGTGGCCGTGGATGTGGCGATAGAGGTGCACGAACGCACTCTGTCGGTGTGCCAGCGCGTTGTGAAGGATGCTCTGAAGGTGTGCTTGATCGGGTGATTCGGGCACCGTGCTTCCGAAGCCGTCAGCGTCACCGGCAATCAGGTCGTCCACGGTGAGGCCCCCGGGCAGCGTGGGTTGCCAGTTCTGCAGGGCCGACTCGATGGCGTCGGCAGTTGTTTCGAATTCAGTGCGGAGCACGGCCAGCTTGGGCCCGTTTGACTCTGGCAAGGCCAAGGCGGCTTCCAACTCCTTCTTGAGCGACAGGAGGTTTGACAAACGATGGAGGATCGGCCAGAGCGAGGCGGACAGCCCAAGAAGAGTGTCAACGCCGTTTTGCGACGAAGGGTCGGTCGGGTCCGGGTTCGAAGAGGAGTTGAGGGAAGCAGCTGCTGGGGCTGTGGAAATCGGTGCTTTGCCAAAGGAGAGGGCGGCAATGACGTCGTAGAAACGGAAAGCCTGAGATCGGTCAGCAACAGCCAAAGCACACGTGTATTGTGATCAACGTACTCGCTCAAGAAACGCGCTTGTCGCGCTGGGGGGTTGATCATTCTGGCTCATGATGGTCATGGCACCCTTGAGATGACCATCAACAATGTTCGAACGCCCGCGCTGGACCAGCTATGGCCATGTCAGTTTTTTTTAGTTTTTTTTTTGGAAGCAATGCCATCTGGTCTGGAGTACGAACCACTTCAAAGTACACTAGCAGCATGATGGCGGCCAGTAACTCCTCCCGGTCGGCCTTGGGTCCCATCTCAATCAGTCGAGCGAGGCCCTGGATGGCCTGGTTGTGAAAGTAGAGCGACTTCTCCTCGTGCTTGCCACTTCCGCGGTGCTCCAGGTGAGCGCTCGACAGAGCATAGATAGCATTTTGCACCGTCGTGCTGCTGTAACAGAGGGGCAGCACCAGTTGCTGGAACGGGTTGCCAGACTCGGTCTCGCGCAACACGATGAGATGCGACAGGACATTGGCAAAGTGGTCAACAAGGGCCCGCCTGTTGGCGCAATCAGAGAACTCGCTGAAAACCGGCATCAGGAACTCCAAATGCGGCGGGCTCAAGGGTGCCGGTGCAATCATGGCCAAGTCGGGGTAGCGTTGAGCGCGGGTCACCGCCATGGTCGGGGGGGCAGGGCTCATCCGGACAATTTCTTCGTCGACATCCTCTTCCACTTCTTCTTCGATGGGAAAGTCAAAAGGCATATCCAGGGGCGAGATCAGCGGCACATCCGAGGCGGCGCTCCAGTTGACATGGAGAGAACTGGCCAATGCGTCCATGTCGTCGGCCACCGCTTCGTCTGAATCCCCCTTGGACGACGTGTCGTCGCCCTGTTGATATTCTAGGTGCTGGCTGTCGCCGTACAGAGACGGACGGCGCAGGTAGCGTGATTCGAGATCGAGACCCTCGCCCGGGGTCGAGTCACGCTTCTTCCGCTGGCGCGGCTTCACGGCTTCATAGGTGCAATCCTGGCTACGCTCCGAACAGCGCGAGCACTGTGGACGTGTTTCGTCGCATTTCTTCTTCTGGATCGAAGAGTCAGTACGTGGAATACACTTTCTTGAGGTGTATCGGCTCAGCGGTTGTGGCGTACCTTCTCCTTGCTTTTGCCATGTGTCAGTACGAGGGAGCAAACGGCGGGGACCGGGTTGAAGCTTACCAATATGTGCAACCTAGAGGTGCAAAGAAAAGCGTTCAATCAGTATGCGCTCCTTGACCAGATTGCATTGTTTCACGGCATCGAGTACGTTGTGTACCAATCTCGCAGCGCACGACATACCTGCTCGGGATCTCCTCTTCGGCGCCTTGGGGGCGGCGACCTTTGTAAAAAGTAGCATGTTTGGTTGGATGTGACTGCTGCCGGTTGCCAGCAGGTCACGACATGACGTTGCGAAGGTCGTTCAACTTTCGAGACAGCTCTTGAGAGTTCGCGTTCAGGTCGGTGGGCGAGGTTGAGGAAGTCGGGATCTGGGGAGGCGTCGAAGGATTTGAGTGGCGGATATGGCCCAAGACAAGACAACGTACGTGGTTGGCACGCTGCTGCAGGGTTCCTGAGCAGAAGGTGATAATCTGGGGAAGCCGAGACGAGGGGGGTCTCTGGCGGTCTAAATGTAGGGCTAGTGCGGAGCGATGTGATGCGAAAGGAGAGTGAGTGTATGGTCTTGGCTTGCGGCGTCGTAGAGAGGGGGCCAGGGGATGGTCGAGGTATGACGGGTGTGGCTGACAGATTCGTATTGGATGGTACGGAAACTTCGTGATGGAAGCCCGGTCAAGGTTCGTTTGAAGTACTGGTTCGGGGAAAAGGGCGAAGAGTCGGGGGCGGTAGTTGGAGATGGCGAGGAGAGAAAGACTCGGCTTCTGCAAGGCTTTGAGGGAGGGGCGTCGGCATACCTGACAACACAGGGGGGGAAGGTGTAGACCAAGGGCAAAGGAGCAGAGGGCAAAGGACAAGATGAACCCGGGCCTAGCAGGTCAAGGGCGACTGGCCGGGCAGGCCATCGTGATTTGTGAATGAGCCCATGCCGAATTGAAAGAGAGAGTGCGAGTGCACGAGGGGGCGCGCCAGGTGGAGAAGCTTTGCGGGGTTGCACCATGAGACGGAACCTGTGGGGAACCAGGGAAGCACAGCGGTTGGCTCTTAGGCGGAGGATCCGCCCATGAGTCAAGCACATCAGCGCTGCTTCGACGGTTCCATCTCTCACAGGCCCATGCAAACCCGCCCGCGGTGACCCCTTCTTGTTTATTGGGGGATTGAGTAACCCGTCTCCAGACCCTGATCGGCGCTGTACTGTAGAGTGCCTGGAGACAGCCCCAAATACGCACTGCGAGTATGCAGCGGCGAGGAGGCGAAACATGGTTTATGGTTCGGCTCGGTGCGCATCTGTCGACCGAGGCATCGGGGGGTAAGGGCACAGAGCGACCTACCTGGGTAAGGTACCCAGGTAAGGTACACAGGCATGTACCGACCCAGGAGGCATGTCACCAACAACCCACAGCGCCATTCATCAGTGGTCAGTCATAAAATAGCCAGGGTGTGACTGCCAGATTTGTCACCCACCGAGCCTAGCTGCATCGTTCAGAACGGTGACCGCCTAGGGATGCCTGACCACCTGGAAAGGCACAATGGCAGGAGGAATTAGATGTCTGTGTTCCCGGTTTTTCTGACAACCGACTCGGCACCGCAGACCAATTCAGGTGCCTGTGACTGATTCACAATGCACTCACCCACCACGTGCTAAGATCCCAAACAGGTAGCTGCTCTGCTCAGGTAGGTAGGTGGAAGTGGAATGGCAACAGATGGTAGCCTACCGAGGCGAGGGGACGCACGGGTCAGGTCGGTAAAGCCTAGTAAGGTTTTAGAGCAAGACAAGCGTACATAGTAGTGCTGGTGCCAGTGGAGGCTCACCGAGTTCTAGTGCGGGCCTCCTCTGGACTGGAGCCTCGAGCCTCCAGTGACGGGAGGAGGGGGGGGGGATGGACGGAGCATGTCCCCGCAGACCCCGCACCACCCCAAAGGACGTGCCCGGCACGATCAAGATCAACACAGGGCAGGTCCAGGCTGCGCATCGTTTTCCTCCGCTGACTCGACCTGACGACGATGACGACGACAACGACGACGACGACGACCATCACCAGCGATGAACATTGGCCATCTCTCTGGGCGAACCGATCGTTCAATTTAAACCCCTGCTTGTCAGAACCACAGACGGGATCGCTGAACGCAATACACTGCTGTTCGTTCTTGCCACTTTTTGACGATGCTTCTCCATGGCCATACTGACGAGTATATAGGGCCAGTCCATGCGACAGCCATGACAATGCCCGTTGCAATCGCGGCGTGATTTTCGAATACGTTTTATCTCTCAACATCTCAGACAGACGAGACCACATCATGTTGCCACGAGCGTGGAACCTCCTGGCGAGGCGCTCTCATCGTCCAGAGCACCAAGTTGACAAGCAGACACGCGTGCGCCGCACAGCATCTGACCGAAGATGTTTCTTCCCCAAAGATTGTTGAACCATCTGCGTCCCCAAAAACAAGATCCATGCCTTTATTACCTACGAGGATGGCCCCCAACTCTCCAATCCTCATCATGTTCGCTCTCCTGCACAATGGCACCAGATGCAGCTGCGATTGGCCACATTCTCATGCGCCCTTCAAGAAATGTCGCAATTCCCCCGAAGGAGCCCGAATCAGCATGTTGTGGGACCATGGGTAAAGTGCGAATGCCTCATCGAACATGGCTCCTCAATACGGCTATCGAGACACGACTTCACGTGCCATCTTGTGCTCGCAGTGTCACCCTATTGTCGATCACGCTGGCCGCCTGCTGTTGGTTGGTGCTGTCGCGTCGTATCCCCCTTCAGCCCATGATCGCGTCTTGTCACATTCTCGTCTTCTCCAGGAGATTTCAGACCCAATTTGTGGGACTCAAGACTACACGGCGCTGGCAAAACTTGCCGACACAGATGGTCATTCGATTCCTACGCTGTCACTTAATCCTCGCTCAGAGTCTTGACCAAGCGGCAAAGCGAGATTGTGGGATCCGTCTGACTGTCAGCCCTGCTGAAAGGAGCAACCGCAACCAAAACATCCTGGTCCCTTCCCTTGCATGGTACCGCCAACCGACAGTCTCGCTCATACGTGGTACGCTGTTGGGCTCAGCCCCCAGCTTCATGCAGGTTGCTGCTATCTTCGACACCCTCCCACCAAACACTGCCCGACCCAACTTGCCAGCTTCACCAACATAGCAACCCGTGAGCCTCTCCAGCGTCACATCAGCGGTAAGGCCTGGCGATCGAATTTCGGCATCACGCGTCCCTGGATCATATAACGGATGCGACAGCCTGGACCAGGTGTTCCAGCGGCTATCATTCTCTTCAGCCTCTACCCCGCAGGCCAACCACCTGTGCGACCTCAGCTGGGCCGCAGCCTTGTGCGACCTTTGGACGCTGTTACTCTGGATCGCTCGAGAACATAGGGTTCGCCAGCCAACCGCTGCGGGAAACCATGCGACACTGCTCCGTCTGCGCCGTGATCTCTCTGGTCGCATTCTGTGCAGGAGGTTCGAGCGCCTTGGATGTCAAGAACAGAGACGGTATTCACAGAGTGGAAAAGATACATGTGACGATACTCGACAACATCCAAAGGAGAGATACCACAGCCTGTCCAACGAGCTATCTCTTGTGCCCAAGCAGCGCGAGTGGCGGATGTTGTCCAGAGGGATTCGGTTGCGCCACCGATTCATGTTTTGCGTCGACAAGAGCACCACAAACATGCCAGGGTCGAGCTGGCTACTATCCATGCGCACCAGATCTTGAAGGTATTTGGAGCAGCTACACGCGAGTGCCTGGCTTCAGCTAACATTTGAAAAAAGGTGGGTGCTGCCCGGAAGGCTATCTCTGTCAACGAGGGGCCCAGTGCGTGGTCCCGGATGGCGTTTCGTACTCTCAGTCATGTCCAACCAACTATTTCCTCTGCCCGTCGTCGTTGAATTATGGCTGTTGCCGCGACGGCATGGGTTGCGCAGCGAGTGCCTGTTATTCCACCGAGCCTTCTACGTATAGGATTACGAGGACAGTCACGACTACGAATGCGGATGATGAAGAGGTCACAGTGACGGAGACTGCAACAACCGTTTCAACGCCGTCACAGCCAACAGTATACCCGACCGGCGCGATTGATCAGGGCGACCAACAGGTTGTCGTCAAGTTTTACCCGACGTCCCTGCCCAAAGTCGAGCCCAAGGTGACTAAGGACGATGATAACGGCGGCAGTGGTCTTTCAACAGGAGCCATCGTCGCCATCGTCGTTGGTGTCGTCGGCCTCCTGATCATCGTGGTGGCCGCAACATTCATCATCCTGCGTCATTTGAACAAGGTCGTCAAGACGGTGGTCGAGTCCCAGCCGGGAACTTCGACCGGATCCAGAGCAGCCAAACCAAAGCCTTTTGTTTCTCAGTACCAGGTCGCTGATAAGCCTACGCCATCCGAGATGACCAGTCCACGACCTTCAACCCGCAGGCTCGACTCAGACTCCAGCGGCGCCATCGGACTCGGCGTCGGTGTCGGCAGCCCTGGCTACGCATCACCCCCTCTGCATACTCCAAGCCCAAACGCGCCAGCCGGCTACCAGGCGGTGCCGACGACTTCCGCGGACCGTCACGCTAGCTACGATTCCACCTTTCGGGGTGGCGTCGGTTATTTTGACATGCCCTCGGAGCAAGAACGTCGACGACCATCTCAGCAATCGGGCATCTGGCCGTGGCCATCGGGCGCGCAACCGCAACGCCAGAGCACCGACTCGCAGACCACGCAACAAGCGTACGCGCAGGGTCACGGACGCCAGTGGAGCAACGCCAGCGAACAGAGCAATCCCAGCGATATGGTTTCGCCGATTCATCAGCAGTTCGGGGCGCAAGAGCTGGATAGTGCCAACGCCGTGGTGCCAGAGCTGCACGCGCAGTCCGCTCCATCGACTTACCCCCCGGAGTCACCGGTAGACCCCCGGCGCAGCATGGTCAGCGCAGTGAGCTCGACCGTCGCATCACCACGGCAGCCAGCACCTCATTCCCGAAGGCGGAGTGGTGAGGGGAGAACACACAGCGACAGCGTCACAGCCGCTCAAGCGCCATTGAGTGTCGTCACGGAGGACACGGAGCTGATCGGACACTACGGGCCGCCGGATTCTGTCGTGGGACAGACGGCCGCCGGGCATGAGGAATGGGTCCAAGAGATGGCGGGTTCCCAGGGCTGGGATCAACCACAGCAACACAAGTAGATCGAGAGCTGTCAAAGCCAGCACATGACGGCATATTGACTAACACACATTGAGGGTTGGTTAAGTTCTGGGGCGTTTATTAGGTGACATTGGTCAAGCGCCACATATGAGGGAAGGGATGTATTCGTTGACGATCTTTCTCGCTGTAGCAATGGCTCGCTGTAGCAATGGCCCGAGAGGAATAATTGCACAACACATCGTGCGCTCGTTCCCGACGTAAAGCAGTTCCCCTCATCTCGGGATTGAACGCGTGACCTGGTCATTTAGTATTTTGGTTGCCTCATGACAATGGGCGGGAAACGATCGCAGCAGGTCATGGTCGTTGCCTCGAGCGTGATGCTCCATCATGCAAAAGCCTCTCTTGTGATGGAACAACAAGAACGAGAGTACAGGCTTTGTGGTTCTCTAGAGAGGATGGAATCATCTGCTCCACCGAAACTCGCGCGCACCGCCTCGCTCCCGACCTGTCAATACACAAGCACCAAGGTACCAAGTCTTGGCCCTCGCTCGTGCCCCGGCGTAATACCTCGCATGGGTCGCGGGGTCTGGGGTAAAGCAGCAGGAATTTGCCCGGACCCGGACCGACTCCAAGGGCTAGACGGGCTACCTCATGTCGTGGGCCCAGAGGAGCGGGCTCGACCGATCGGGTGAGCTATTGGCGCAGTTGTGTGCCTGGCTGCGGCAGAAAGAGGGGGGTGCGGGAGGGCGAAGGACCGAGAGCTGACCGTTGCTTTCTCGCATACACACACTCACACACAGATGAACGCACATCCTCAGGGCAGTGTATGCCATCTCGGAGAGAGGGAGACAGAATGGACCTCTGTTAAGGCAAGGTGAGGTCATTCCGGTCTGTCTAGTTTGGCCCCGCCTCCTTTCCCCCCCTTCTTTTTTTCTGCTCCCCTGTCCTTGGTTCCGTTCGTCCAGACCGTTTTTGTTCAATTTTCACCTTGTTGGATTCCCTGCGAGTACTTGAAGGGGAGGAGAGGGGTATGAGTTCTGAGAAGAGGTGCCGCCCTTGGCATGCGTAGCAAGTCGGCTGTTTTATTTTTGCCTCCCCCCCCCCCGCCTCCTTCTTGTCTTTGACGTCCGCTCACGTCCCTGTCGTCCCTGATATCCGACATGCCTTTCCGTCGGCTCGGCGAGCGGGTGTTCGGGGAGCGGGGTGAGCGAACTTGTGCCTGGCATGGACTGGGGGGGAGAGGAGGGCGGGGAGAGGGAAGGGCATTGCAGTTCGAAGCGGCGAGGGTATTCATTGAGTGGTGGTGATTTCGGTGGTGACTGCTCCGTGGCCACGACGGGGATCCCTGGGAGGGTGGGCCCCTAGGTGGCAGGAGAATGAGCTGGGGTGAGCAGGGGTGTGGGGGAGGGGGAAAGATTGTCTATCTCCAGTCTTGTCGCTGGTCTACCGGTTTGTTTGCGGAGTCTAAGGGGAAGCTTGGCTTGGGAGTGCGGGGGAGAATCGATGCCGAGACGGGGTAAATGGGAGGCGAGATGGAACGGCGGTGATGAGCCGTCCTGAGTCGTCAGTCTTGAGTCTTAAGATTGGGAATCTGATGGGTTTGCGTCGATTGGTCCTGATGAACGGGAGTTGTGCTGCCAGTATGACGCTGGATGGTCGTGTGTTGTGTATCTCCTGGGCCAGCACTCAGTTCACGGTATACGCCGCACCATACGATTGGCAGTCCCCTGGTTGCGTGCTGGTGATCCATATTATAATGCTATGTTCAAAGGTCATTGAGGATGGAAGCAAGTATGTTTTGATATCCTCAGCTCCCTTGTCAGGGCTGCATGGTTGGATAAACTACAAGGCAACACATCGACACTGCACCCACGGAGTCGCCCATCGTCTAACACATACCCGATCTCGCAGTCTGCGTAAACTTACCTCCCTTAACCCTAGGGAACTCTGCCCCAGAAGATGGACCCTCATTTCGAAGCAACCTGTTTGGGGTAGATCTTGAGTCGACACAAGATCCGGGGGCAGGAGCAGAATCTGGGGATCACCGAAAGCCCACCAACCCCATCCATCACACAGGGTCGGTCCCGCACGCATTGCGGCGTCGCAAGAGGCTTGGAGCTAGGCATTGAGATGCCGCGGACAAACAGACGGTAGATGGTGAGGCTCTGCCATGTCCACCTTGGTGGGGGGAGGACAAATTTTCCGTTCACACAGATGGTCGCCTAGAATTGCCCAGCGCCGCCAGCCATGTGCCTTTGAGACCCCATAGAACCCAAGCCTCACCTCAGCATCAGTTAGCCCAGGCCAGGCCGCCGAACGTGGTGTCGGGTCAGCCCCAGCCGGGCGGACCAGCGGGTGTGAGAGGAAACGACGCCGGTCGCGAGACTTGATGCGAGATGTCGGCTGCCGATGAATGGAGGAACGATAGATTCTCCGCCCCGCCCCAAGAAAGCGAGTGGGTATCGTCGCCATGGCCTTGGAGGCAGGCATACGTTGCGTACGGGACACGGCATGCCCTCCCTCTCTTTGATGAACAGCATATGTATACGTACACACATCGTCGGCTAGCCAGGTACAAGGCCCAGCGCAGACGGGGGCCAGGGTCGGCAAAGTGGACTGAACCGATCCAGGTTCGAGTCGTGTCAAGCATGCGCCTCTCTGCGAAATGGAGTCACTCCCGATGCCTTTCCGTCGCAGCAGGTCCCTTTTCGCTGCTCAGTCGGATGTCGGAAATGCATCTCAACCGTCCTTTTCGACCTCGCCCCTCCTGCAGATGTCGCTCGCCCTCGTTTGGCGGATTGCTCAGCTTCGAGCAAGACGTGCACGCACGTGTTGGTACGCCGCTGGAGCCCGCCAAGCGGCAGTGGGCGACGGACGAGGATCCACGGCAGGGTAGAGGCGAGGGCCGTCGCCCACGTGCAGCGGCGGCTCGCGGGGGCTGGGGGCGCAGTGCCTGTGTATCGTCTGTGTGCGGTGCCTGTGCCTGGGGCCTCGGTAGGGGAGGGGGCGACTATCTGTAGGTCTTCGGAGATGAGCTGCTGTGGTGTCAAGAGAATCAGGAAGATCTGTCCGAGGAGCTATTGACGAGAACCCCCTCGTCGCCTCTGGGGACTGTTCGAATTGCTCGGCGGCAGGCATTAAGTACACCAAGCCTTTCATCGCCTAACAGGTGCATGGGCTGCTCTGAGCGACAGAAATTCGTGGGACACATTGTAAACAACGTGGTGTGGCCTTCTCTTTCGACTGGTGTCGTGACAACTGCCAATATCGGAGGGCGGCGATGTCATCTGGGCATGGAAGCATCGCAAGGCCGACGAGGCGTTATGGGCGTTGTCCATCAGATGCCATCCACGTGCGAGACGGCCGCGATCGCATCGCTCCATTGCGCGCGCGCCTCCAAATGACAGCCATTGAACCAGGCGACACCCGATGGCGTGGATATGACGATACCGGAGGGCTAGCCATATCCGTTCAATCAGTACACTCGATCAAATCATTCAGTCAGTCAATCAAGTCAAGCCAGCCAGCATGATGCTGTCTTCATGGCGCGCCACGACCAAACGGTCGACGCCCTCCGCCCGTATCAGCAAGAGAGGCGCCCTTTGGAAGGTCAGAGCTGCCTCTTTCGGTGAAGGTCGCCTAGCCCTCTCAACCTCTGTGCGTTGGGAACAAGGGCGGGCACAAGGCGGGCGATCCACAGATTAAGGCCCTGGGCGACTGGAGGGGTGGGAGGGGGGTTCTCTCTCGAGGGACGTGAGTCGTCGCCCCCGGCTACCGGCTGTACTACTGATCAGCAGGGTTGAACGGTGCTTGTCGACCTTCCAGAACGGCCCAAGCTCGAGGCGGGTGAGCAAGTTCGAGGGTGTCATAAGTCCTGGGCAAACAAGGTGAAGAGGAGAGGAACTTGATCCTCATGACTAAGAGACGAGGCTCTCAAGCAACAGGGCAACATCGTGGTGTGTTCACGTTCATGATGGCAATCAAATGCACGCGTTGCAGGACATGGTTCCTGCGTCTGTTTTTGGTGGCACGTCGCACACGCGTACGTCAGAAACGTGATAACGTCGTAGCATCTCTGCAGATTGGCGATGCGAATGACAAGTAGGCAACCGGGATTGATCGATAAAATGGTACGTTTTCCTTGTGAGCTCGTGTTCTCGCTCTATTGTTCTGGTTATTTGGCTATTCTTCAGGGGCTTGTCAAACAGTGGTGGATGGCACTAATGAAGCATGACAATGTGCCGAAAGTGTAAGTTAATATCACGACCTTATTTATTGCCCCTCCTTGCGAATAGGTGACGACCCGGAAGCTGCGTCAGGGAGCCTCCAGGGGCGCCTTTGAACGTTCTTCAGGCTCTTCGGGCTTAGTCGTATCCCCCGAAGCCAACGTTGAACCCCCTGGAAGAAAAACCGTTGCACAGTGACTGAATCGCGCGATGAGGCGTTCCTTAGGGGCTCCAGGGCCCGTCAGGGAAGCAAGACTCGTCGCGGCAAAACAAGTCCCGCTCTCGTTTAATTCAACCGGCTAGCTACATTGTTATAAGGTTCAATGTTAGCAGCATGTTACGTGACGGCAAGGCCGGATAGAAAGATCCTCGGAGGGCATCACACATCTCAGCTTTGGCAGAAATTGGAGGCAGGGCAAATAGTCGCTTGACGCTGTTCACAGCACAACATCTCTCAACCCAGAGACTCCAAAACTGGCTGCCATTCAATTCAGCGAAACAATGACAACACCGGCCAGCGATCCCCCTCTGCAAATCACTGCTTCAACGGCATAAGATCGGCTCCGCCCCAGCCAACCCAATCGGTCGGTCCCATCCAGGCAAGGCAAGTCGTCCAGGGAAGGGGGGGGGGCACTTCAGCCATCTCGGGAGCCGGGAATCGTCGCCTCTGCCAGCAGCTTGTTGGCGCTGCTGTTGAGCCGTGCCTATCTGCTTGCTTGCTGCCTTCCGTGTTGGACCTTGGTCCCCCTTGGCCTCCCTCTTTACCCCCTGTCTCTACCTATTACTTTTAACCACCCCCAGGGCCAAGACCTGCGCGACGCCTTCTCCTCACCTGCGCCGCCTGCTTTCCCCAGCTTCCTATCCGAATGAAGAGCAGACTGTGACGTTGCGCGGCCTGCGTGGTGGCTTCGGGGAAAATGCCGCGAGGCAAGAGAATCTCCTTGACCCTGCACAACATAACGCTAGACACGCGCGGCGGATGAAGAGCAACGGAGAAGGGCAGACATTGCGGGAAACGAGAAACGGTGACGATGATTTTAGCCACTGGCGCCGCAGCTTGCAGGCACGAGGACTGGGTTGCCCAGGCTGGTGCGCTGTTTTTACCGTCCTGGGATGAGTTGAAGGCACGTGTAGAGGCTTTCCAACATCATCATCGCAATAAGGAGTGCATCAATTACGGTTGTGGCAGACACGCACACGCTATGCATGCTCTTGTCGAGTCAGCTTTCGGGCACCTGATGTCTATTATGCCTCGTGGGCCAACGCCCGTCATCTTTTTCTCTCTGCCCGTTTCTCCGACTCGTATGAACCTGGGGTAGCAATTGCACTTCACAAAGCCAAGCAAGCAAGTTTATCGTCAGTGTCGGCCACCGCCGATCCAGGGGACGCGGCCCAGATAACAATGGGATTTTTTTGTTCGACACCCATACCCCAACCTTCACGCTATCGACCGAAGCCAGGTCCGAATAGGCAGAACAAACGGGCCGCCCGCCGTGCGCCTCCATGGACCTCTCCCCTTGGCAAACGGGGGCTGCAAAAACGGTAGACCAAAGAGGAACCTTGACCCACGCAGCGCATGCCAAGCGGCACGTTGCCGACAAGGAATCGATAGCGCCGACTGGTACAGATTTTCGCTGAAGAAGCTGCCAGTGCTTGTATCACCGAGGTCGGGAGACAGCCAAACCCGAGGCCAGCCTTCGAAGAACTGGTCCGGCTTGCCGCTATTTCGCACACCGTCCAGGCACAGCCAATGCCGGGAGGAGTGGAGGATCCTAAGTAGCGGTCCGTTGTCCCTTCTTCTTCCCTTCGTGTGGACGGCGTCGACTTTCCGTTCGCCTCTTCATAAACCGTTTGCACAGGAAACACACAAGTACACCACCCCTGGATCAAATACTAGGTTGAACCTGTAGACCCCTCGGACTAGACCCGGGCCAGGAATATGTACCCTGTCGATTCTTTCCAAGCTTCCCCGCCCGTGATAAGCGGCCGAGAGAGCGAGAGGAGTGAGCGAGAGAAGCAGGCCAAGCAGAACCCCCCTCTTCGCCCCCCCTTGGGCTAGGTCTCTTTCTGGTGTCCGTGAAGCGGCCGAGTACCTTGCCTGAACCGACCTACCCCCCCTGGCCTTAGCCTTTCGCCTGCCTC